AGGCCTGACTGCAGTGACACATTCACTGCCATCCCAGAATTGATTGTTTGGGCTCCGGTGATAATTCTGCCTCAGCCTTCCAATTAGCCAGTGCTACAGGTGCACGCTACCACAATCGGCTAATTTCTTACATATTTTGGAGGTGAGGTCTCACCAAGTTCCCTGGGCTGGTCTCAAACCCGCAAACTCAGAGAATCCCTTCCCTTGGCCTCTCAATGTGCTGGGATTTCAGGGTGAGCCACTGATCCCCGTCTCACATACTCTTTATTCATACTACCAAAGATGTGCTTGTGTGTCAGTTACATGGTTACGCTATAGTGAATGGTGATAGGTTGGTTTGTTCACAGAATGCCACGGTCACTTTTTGTAAAAGCATAGAGATGTCCAGATGTTTCTGCTCCATTCACAGATTCGAACTATTGTGAGATATCATGTAGCTCAATGTGGCTACGCTCTATCCACTCTGAGGTGATTTTTTTAAGCAGCTGGCCAAAGCATATAAGAATTGGAGATGTATTTTAGTGGATTGTATATTATTATCTACATAAGCCCCCAAACACTCAAATCCTGCCAGATTAAAGTGGTAAGAATGAAAATACAAACACAATGCAGGACTAGGTTAATAGCCTGAAATCTTTTGTTTTGGGGGCCTTTCTGATACATCTGGATTAAGGACAATCAACACTCATTCCAAATCTTTCACCAGGATGAACACTCAAGTTTTTGACTAGTTACTATATCCTGAATAGCCAACAGCCTATTGGAAATAAAATATTGCCTAAAACTACTGCAAAACTCATAAATTTGAGTAAAGACACTAGCAGGATAATGTTTAGTGATGCAAGGAAGGAAATTTAGCTGGATTTCAAGACAGGCAGAAGGAATAAGGAAATTCAAATGCTAAATCGCAATACATAGTTCAAGATCTTTTACAGACTATTTGCTGTTACGTAAGATGAACATTAGCACTAAGTTAAAGTATCTGTATCATTTAATCTCTACACTTCTCCTTTGCCATCTGTCTTTTATTCAGCAGGATGCCCTAGTAACTTAAGACCGTACTTTTTAATCAACCTCCTTCATATACTATCTCAAGGCACCCTAATTGATTCAAAATCAGCAATTATCTGGGTACTAATATTTTCTCTGAATTTTCCTAGTCGGCGAGGAGAATGTGGAGGAAACCTCCTGTGAATCAGAATCGCGTACTCCCCAGGTAAGTCCACCTTACATTTTCACGAGGAATATGGTAATTTTTCTGAATTTGGCCCTTGTCAAACAAGTTTAGATACAAAAGTCCAAAAATGTACATTAGGTATGACACATAGAATTCTCTTAGTGCTGTTGTACTGAGTGGCCCTTTCTTACTAACTCATACTTTACACAGTTAGACATTTTTAAATGATAGCATTCACTATAATTTTTAATGTGCAGGCATTTCCTTTAGCATCTAATTTTACCCATGAATTAGGAATTGTGAATTTTTCACTTAAGTCGCTGGTAAAGGGAAGTTGTGTAGAAAATATCTATCTTTTTTCACAAGTTTTATCTCTTCCTAATTTTAAGGACTTTTATTTTATTTATTTATTTAATTATTTATTTATTTGAGTTGGAGTCTCACTCTGTCGCCCAGACTGGAGTGCAGTGGCCGCTTCCGGCCACCACAGCCTCGACCTGCTGGGCTCCGGCGATCCTTCTGCCTCAGCCTTCCGAGTAGCCGGAATTACAGGCATGCGCTACCACACCCAGCTGATTTTTTGATTTATTGTAGAGATGAGGTCTCACTGCCCAGGCGGGTCTCGAACCGCAGGCTCAGGCAATCCACTCACCTCAGCCTCCCAAAGACGTGGGAATACAGGCTGAGCCACCGAGCCCGGCTGAGGACTTTTAACTTGGACTCAACAAATGGTTTTTGAAGTCATCAATGAAAGATACTTGTGCATTTGACAGTTTAATCTACTCTTTACACTCTTCTTTTACATTATTGCAGATGCCACCCAGTGCGGAGGATAGTGGTATGTACCCTCAAAATTCTGTTTTTCTTTTTTTGAGTTGTAGTCTCACTCTGTCGCCCAGACTGGAGTGCAGTGGCCGCTTCCGGCCACCCCAACTTCGACCTGTTGTTCTCCGGCGATACATCCCCGTAGGCCTTCCAAGTAGCTAAAATTACAGGCGAGCACTACCACGCTCTGCTAATTTTGGGTTTATTGTAGAGATGAGGCCTCTCCAAGTTCCCCAGGTGGGTCGCGAATCTGCGGGCTCAGGCAATCCACTCACCTCAGACTCCCAAAGGCGCGTGATTACAGGAGGTGCCACCGAGCCCAAGCTGAAATCTCTTACTGGCTGAGACAAAGAAGCACAGGCTTTAGTGTATGTCAGATGATTTAGGTTTCTATTCGGAAGGAACATTGGGGTTCCCCAGAGAAAGTCATTTTGTAAGGACACATCTGTGTCCGGAGAGTACCATATGAATGTCATGCAATAAGTAACTGAAGTGCTTAATTTAAATTGTTTTGCAATTGTATGGCTCTCTTATTATTCTTGGCTTATAGATTTATACCACAGAGAGGTTTGGAGAGGATGTCCCATCCAGGAACCCTTAACAGACCCACTTCACTCTAAGTGGTTTAGCATGAAGAGGCTCAGGGTAAACAAAAAGGTGTACCCTAGGAATGCCACCCAAACAGGTATCTATTGCTTAATTTACAAATATTTTGGTATTTATGCCTCTCTTAAGATTGTTGCTTAAGCTTTGTGCCACAGTGATCTAAGGGCATAACTTGCAGCATTTTCTTTCTTTAAATTTTAAAGAGACTGGGCTTTAAGGTCTCGAACATGATGCCTCTGTGAATCCTCCGTGTTAAGTTTTCTTTTCTGGGTATGTTATAACTTTAGAATCATGGCATACATGTGAGGATTACTTACACAGTTTCTGGCAGGAAGGCAAGATTTTCCCCTCGAACAGCCCACCCAATCACAGAAATGATCATGGTATCCAGTGTGTAGTTTTGTGTACATATGTCTCTTTCTCCCTCTCTGCTTAAATCAGTTCTCAGTCTCTTTTGTCTCCATTCTTGTGCCCAGTGTTTAGGACACACTTGTGAGTGAGAACATGCAGTATTTAGTTTTTTTGTTTCTGTAACAATTCATTTAAAATGAGGTCTCCAGGTGCATAAATATTGTTGAAAATGACATAACTTTGATCTTCTTTTACATTGAGGGTCTAGTATTCCATCAAGCATATATACCGCTTTTTTTTATTGCGTTGTGGTCCCGTTCAGTCCCCAAGCTGGAGGGTACTGGCACACTCAGGGCCATCTCAGCATCAACCGCCTGGGCTCCGGTGACACTTCTGCCTCAGCCTTCAAGTATCTAGTGCTACAGGCACACGCTACCACACCCAGCTAATTTCTAATTTATTTTGGAGTTGAGCTCTCACCACGTCCCTGGTTTGAACTCAAACCTGCAAGCATAGGCAATCCAACTCCGTTGGCATTCCAAAGTGCTGGGATTACAGGATGACATACTGAGCCCTGTCCCACATGTTCTTCATTCAATCTACCAAAGATATGCTGGGGGTTCGGTTCCATGATTTTGTTATCGTGAAGTGTGATAGGTTCATTTTCTCACAGAATGGCATGGTCACTTGATGAAAAACACATATATGCCCCGATGTTTCTGGTCCATTCACAAAATCTAAGTATTGTGAGATATCACGTAGTTCGATGTGGCTAACGTCTATCCATTCTGAGGTGAAGATTCAAACAGCTGGCCATAGAATGTAAGAATAGGTGACGTATTTTGGTGTATTTCATAATATTATCTCCATAAGGCCCCAAATGCTCAAACCTGCCAGATAAAAATGGTAAGAATGAAAATATAAACTGAATGCAGTCATAGGTTAATAGCTTGATTTAAATTATTTTTGACACCTTTCTGGTACATCTGGATAAAGGGCCATGAAAACTCATTCCAAACCTTTCACCATCATGAGCCATCAAATTACTGACTTGCTAGTTAGATGAGCCATCAAATTACTGACTGGCCACTACCTCAATCAAAGCACCCTAATTGATTCAAAATCACTAATTATCTGGGTACTGATTTTTCTCTGTATTATTCTAGCCTGCATGAAGTATGTGGATGAAGACAACTGCGTATCATCATTTCTTTCTGCCCTGGTAAGATCACCTTTCATTTTCATGTGGAGAAATGTAATTTGTCTGAATTCGTTCCTTATCAATCAAATTTGGATATAAATATTCAACAAAGTAAATTATGTATGACACATATAAATATCTTAGTGCTGTGATACTGAATGGCCCTTTCTTACTAACACACACTTGATACACTTAGACATTTTTAAATAATAGCATACATAATAAATTATAATGTACAGGCATTTCTTTTGGCATCTATTTTAATCTATGATTTCGGAATTGTAAAATTTTCATTTATCTCTGCCAAAGGGAAATTCTCCAGAAAATGTTTATCTTTTTCACAACTTTAACCTCTTCTTAATTTTAGGGTCTTTTAATTTTGACTCAGCCAAGGGTCTTTTAAGTTATCAATAAAATATTAGATATCTGAGCATTGCACGGCATAATCTATCTTTACACTGTGTTTTTTTACATAATTACAGAAGCGATTCTGGGCAGAGGAACCAGGTATGTACCCTGAAATTTCTTGAAAGCTGAGAAAAAGAAGCAGTTGGCTCTCGTGTGTAGAAGCTACTCTAGACTTCTATTCAGAAGGAAAATTGGGAGTCTCATGGCAGAAAATTCTTTGATAGGGACACATCTGTGACCAGAGTGTACTGTATGAATGACAGCAAATAAGTCCCTGAAGTGCTTATTTGAAATTATTTTGGCATTTTAAGGCTATATCACACTTGTTAGCTTATAATTTTATATCACAATACTTTGTGGACACGATATTCTGTGAAGGAACACTTGAAGTTTCCACTTCACTCTCTGAGGTGGAAAATAAGAGGCTCATTCAAAACTACAAGGTGTGCCCTACGAATGCCACCCAATGAGGCACCTATTGATTAATTTGCAAACATTTTGCTATATTTGGCTCTCTTAAGATGGTTGCTTACAGCTATGTGTCACAGTGATCTGAGGGAATATCTTTCAGTGTTTCTATCTTGGAAAATTAATGAGACTGGGTTTTAAGGTCTCAAATCCGACCTCTTTGTGAATCCTACATGTTGAGTTTTCTTTAATTGGTAATTTTTATATTTAGAATCATGGGGTACATGAGTAGAGTACTTACAAAGTTTTCTTGCATGAAGGCAATATTTGTTCTTCTGAAGAGCCCCCTAACCACAGAAGAGATCATGATATCCAGTAGGTAGTTTGTGTCCCTTTTCTCCCTTTTGCCCTCTCTACTTAAATCAGTTCCCAGTGTCTGTTGTCCCCATTCTTGTGCCCAGTGTTTAGGACACACTTATGAGTGACAACATGCAGTATTTAATTTTTTGTTCTGTAACAATTC